TCAAATCACTTCCAGTTCTGTGGGGACACACTGTTCCTCTCAGTCCTTTTTGGTGGATTCTGAAGGGACCTGAACATAAGTTTGTCCAGCAGCAGCTAAACATGAAAGCTGCTGAGCCAAAGTTGATGCACCAATAGTATAGTTGACAGAATAATATAGAATTTTCTTATAATACTTTTTTCTCTCCTCTTTAAGAGCTGAAGGAATCTGTTGAAGAAATACTGCCATTCTTGAAGAAAGAAAAAGTTAAAGTTTACTATTTAAGCAAGACAACTGCTACAGAAGGAGTTGAGAGCTTTCTTGATAAAGTAGATGCTGCTTCAGATGAGTCTACTCCATTGTCTTGGAGATCAGATATAACCTTTAAAACTCCTGCCATGTACATTTATACTTCTGGTACTACAGGTAACATAAATTCACAAAAACTATATGGAAGGCCACACGTTCCTCTCTCTGTGTCAGAGCGAATCTATTACTACACATTAGTTCCTACGCTCATTCATTCCCCCTCAGGAAACTGAAAATATTTGTATCTAAACCCAAAAAGCACACAGAATACAGGCTGACTTTAAGCACTATATCTGGGGGAGGGACTGAAGTAAAAGCCAATTAAATGTACAAGTTTTATGCCAGTAAAGTCACCAGACATCTGCGCTCTCATTCCTAGAGACACTGCTGGCCTAGGTATGTGCCTTGGCACCCACCTTATACTCAGTGTCTTTGGATCATGAACTCTAAATGCTGGCCATCAAATTTTTGGGTGTCAGAGTACCAAAAATAGTGAGGGCAGAAGAAAATACAGCTAGTCGTGGCTGCTGTGCAAAACTGCACCTGGTATAAGAGCTGCAACCTGCTCTACATAAAGGCATCTAATGTTAAGAGCACTTAACTGCAGCAGAAACTGGGTGACAGGGATGAAGACAACGCCTGAAGGCACTCACACCTATAGCTTCATTATGAAGAGCAGGGTGTGCCTCCACACTAGCTCAGTCTTTTTGCCTCTGAGGGCAGGAACTCCCCTGGAAGGAAGTACAAATTTGAATCTTACTCAGGCTTCAGAAGGCAATTAACTCTGGTGTCTTCGTCCCTGTTAAGGGCTCTGACATCTCTGTTCTTACAGTATAGGCAAGCACTACCATAATTTTGACTTCTGGGATCTGTTTTCAGCAAGTAATCAGTTCAACTGTGTCTGATGGGAAACCAAGAAGAGATTTTTGTAGTATGAATTCCAGTTTCATCTAGGATGATTCAGGGCTGCAAGGGGATACCTAATTCCAGGAGAGATGCAAGATCTGAGATTAACATCTGTTTTAGCATTTCCATTCCCTTTGCTCAGCATGCTAGATTCTCCAAATCCCACTTCCTCATTCTCTAGGTACTTGTTATTCCTAGGTACCATAGTATTAGGAATTTGGGCACTTGATGGGGGATAATCACCTAGAAGTTACATGTGAGAAGACATAAGCTTCACTAAGGCTAAACATAGACAAAAGGTGCATACCTCCCTGAACTCAGGAACTATCACTTCTGTCAGTGAGTGGGAGAAAATCTTTTTGTAAACCCTTGTGAAACCGACTGGTCTTACTATGTTTATTGTTCAAGTGAAGTTACACACTTTTTCCTTGACTTTAAACAGGTCTTCCCAAAGCTGCAGTGATTAACCATGAACGCATAATGCTAGCTTGTGGTTTGTTTGATGCTGGCAATGTTACCTCAGAAGATATTGTATATACTGTTCTACCACTCTATCATAGCTCTGCCCTCCTCGTTGGGGTCCATGGGTGTATCATGAAAGGTACTGTGCACTTGACTAGTATGAATGGATGTGTTACTGTGCAGAATTCATGCACAGTTATGACTACAGATACAGTAAGCCTTTCTGTAGCAACCAAACTTTGAGATTAAATACTTGGTTATACATGTCTTTGTTACCAGAAACTCCGTAAGTCAAGAGACATTCTCATTTCTCTGTTGTCCTCATATGACTTGCACAAATTTTTTGTCATCATCTGGACAAACAGGCTAGATCCTATCTTACATGACAGCTCTTTGCACAGTTTTGGGATAAATTACTACAGAGTTTCATCTGCAGTAATAGTCTTTAACTTCTGATTAATAGAAATAGAGGTTAAGCCAATTGTTCAGCATGGATTGTATTTCAACATGTTTTAAGAAGACTGGTTCCAAAAGCTATATAACCCTAACTCTATAAGTTTTCTACAACATTGTGCTAAGAAATTGTAATATATGATATGATAATTATATATCATATGTCTTATGATATAATAAGAATTGTTCCTTCTGTTATTTGTTTTACTTCTTTCTACTATATTTTCTACTAGTATTTCTACTATATACTTTTACTATAGGCGCAACTATTGTTTTGCGTACCAGATTTTCAGCAAGCCAGTTCTGGGATGATTGCAGAAAATATAACGTAACAGTGATACAGTATATTGGGGAAGTGCTTCGGTATCTATGCACTGTGCCACAGGTAACATTAACTGCCTGTCATCTTTGGCTAATTAAATTACTGTAAATATTTGTTATATTATGCTTAAAAGCTAACCATAAGGGGAGGGGGAAAAAAAGCCCAACAAAAACCTTCCCTAACAAGGGCTGTAATCTCATTGCATACTAACATGAACTTTTTTCCAGGGAAAAAAAAGGAGCTTTTGGCTTGAATTAATCATTCTTGTGAATAGTGGAACAATGGCAATCCATTAATTGACATTCTGCTAAAATGAATAGAGAAAACACTTACCTTAGATAAGCACACCAGCTGCAAACCAAAAATGAGGATTTCTCTAGGAACCAGTGGACCTGTGTTTTGGGCAATAGGAGTTTTGGGATTTTTGTAGCTAAGATGTCCTAACCCAAGATAGTCAGCTGATCCCCATGTGAAAGCGTTAATGTGATTATTTAAAGAGTGCCCTCTCTGAAGATGCACTATTATAGGGTCTCTATTCATAGGCATTTCCCTGCTGAGATCCCTGCAATCATATTAGTGAACCCTTAATTTCAAAACTGTTTGCATAAAATGACTTTCACAGAGGTAGGCCAGTCAGCTGCAGTTAGAATTTAGTAAGAACAAAGATGGTATCAATCAGTCTTCCTAGCACCATTTGATAACCGTAAGCCAGAACAGAGAATCAGGTCCACAATTTCTTTGTAATTTATGTATATGTGCAAAATATAAAATACACAGGGGTTTCATTCTGATGTCAGTTACAGCGATATGAAATAACTTCACTGGAAATCAGTAGGATTCCTCAGGAATTAGGTATCTAAGCAAGATTCTGCTATGGTTTGTATTATTTCTTGATGAGTTGTTATCCCAAAATGAGCAGTTAATAGAATAAAAGTTTTATAATAATCAGAAGACTTGGCCTCTGGACTGGGCCACTAGTTTTAAATAAAAAGTGTGGGTGGAAGAGATTTAAACTGAGTTAAAGAAACTGGGCACTAGAAACATATAGTTAAGGGTGGTGATAAGTTATACATCACTCCTGCAGTTCATGGAAAATCCCAGTTAGCAAAGTACTCATAATTGGCCAATACTCAACTGGTATAAATAAAATGGGGGAAAAAGTGAAAAACTAGATTATCTCCTTTCATACAGAATGGCTTTTTAGGAAAATAAAATTAAAGACTGAGCTAATAATTTTGATACAGTTGTGTTTCTTGATAGCATGCACGCACGCACAAATTTAACTGAGACACAGGGCATACTTTGTAAATTCTTGAATTCAACCAGTATCTCAAAGATGTGTACAGTTGCCAGACGAGTATAAATTAGTTCCCAAATGGGGTGAGTTTGGTAATGTTAGCTACACAGAGACATTTAGCTTAGCTAAATTGTATATAAATATATATACATTATATTATATATACACAAATATACATATATATTTATAAATATATAAGTGTAATAGCTAATAATTGCACTTATTAAAAGTGACCTGTTAATCAAAAATAACATGAATGGCTGAACCTGAAGCCCACTGAATGATACAGTTGAGTAGTATTTGAGGCTGTCTTACAGATTACTCATTATTGGTGGCTGCTTATCTACAAAGGTCAGATTTTAAGTATGTAGAATTCAAGACCAGTGGAGAAAACACCTTTACGTAAGCAAGGTTTATAAGCTTAGTATTTGATCCCATGTACCCATATGCATGCTACTGTGAGTGCACAAGACTCCCAGAAAGATGGGAGTAACATTTTAAGAATGCAAGAACTTGACAGAATGGATATTATTACTTAAACGCTTGGCTTCTTATTGCAGATGTAATGGCGAGACAGTCTTTTCCATGAGGAAGTCACAGTATAAGCAAGATCCACATTGTTGTAGGGTGTCATCTGTCTTAACTGAGGCCATTTCATTACCTTATTATGCTAGTAACTTTATGCTATCATTTCTTTCCTTTACATACCCACAGAAGAAGAAAACCTCAGTGTCCCTAAATATGACAAAAACATCAATATATTTTTTCTGATGATATTTCCAGCTAACCTACATAGTCATTTCAGAACAAATGAACAGTGCAACTGTTATAGAAATCACCTTAAGAGTGAAACATTAAGTCCTTCCTTCCTCTTGCATTAACTGTGACTAATTAATGTCTAAATAACAAATTTTCTTTATCTGCCTAAGCAAATGGGGAAGAAAGATAGAAAATACAGACTTAAGAACAACAAAAGATGAGGGACAACGTGGATCCAACTAGCATCCTGTCCCCAGTGAATCATTTCAAAACAGATATACGCTCAGATGTATAAATGCCCAGTCAACTGGAGTCTCTCATGAGAGACTGAGGTATTGCGTACAGTGTTGTAGGGCATCATCTGCAACAAACGGAAGATTTTATAAAAGGTGAACAGCAAGTCATTTAGACACTATGCAGAATTTCAGCAGATTTTCATTGTTCTATTTTAAGCTTGGTTCTGTGCCAACATGTTAATGGCAGATCTCTCAATATCACAGAGAGGACTATATATTAATGTATTTCTTCTTTAAATTAAATTTAAACATCCATTTCTAGACTATTCTGCAGAAAAGTGATATGACTGAAGACCAAAATAAAGTTTTACAGTATTTAAAAATTGTAGCCATCTTGTTACGGCATTTTTTTGTCTTTTCTGGGAATATGACACTATAAGACCAATTGATGTTTGTCTTAATGGCCAGACTTCTCTCTTGAATTGCTCCTTGAAAGAGCGTTTTGTAATTCCAGTGTTCTGTGCTCATCTTCTACCATCTACTGCTTTGCCCTCTGCACTGTATTTTCTGAAAGACATAGAGCCAACATACTTATTCTGCACAAATACACAGTGCAGTCTGTTGCTGATAGAATGGTCTTATTCTTTCAACAAAGTACTCTTGAGTTAAGAAGCCAATATTTATTTAAAAAGACTTCTCATACCTTAAAATATTAAATTATGTAATAAAAGAAATGGAGCAAAAGGCAGGAAGTGGGACAAAAGAGCCTTTCCCTATTTTACTAAAATTCTCTCAGGCTGTTGTTATTCACTAGCACGCTAGATATGTTTATAAATTACAAATATCTGACCCAGTTCAGTACTTCCTGTTGTTGAGGATAAATACAAACATCTAAGAGAAGACATAAATGCACTGCCATCCTCACTATGTGTTTATCACTTTACTGTGTAAACAGAAAGATCTAATAGCACTGTTAAAAGTGATATGAAATGTGGTAATAGAATTTTTAGCAGGCTCAATCCTGCACTTAAAATGGCAGAAGGGATTTCCTTTCCACCCAAACACCATTTTAAATCCTGCAAACGTTTTGCTGAATTCAGGGTAAATTATACTTTTCTGCTGATAGTCACCGCAAGGCTTACAAACAAAATAGTTTAATATAGTGCCCGAGTTTCATTCTGGCTTTCTGTGTAGAATTATTTGTTCCTACCTTCATCCAAATCAAGTTAACTACTAACTACAGGTAGATATATAGCCTAACTTGCTCAGTAATTTCTTTTCCTTTTCAACATCAAAATCATGAGCTTAACTGTAATGATGTTTGCACACATTTTGTTTCAGATGCTCGATACTTTTAGACTAAAGTTTCCTTCAGAGTTTTCCAGAAGTAGAAATTCTGCTTCCATTCAACAGAAATGTGAATTCATGACTGTTTCTTGTTTCTAGAGAAGCAATGATCAGGATCACAAAGTCAGACTTGCCATAGGAAATGGAATAAGGGCTGATGTTTGGAGGGAATTTATCCGAAGATTTGGAAATATTAATATTTTGGAGTTCTATGCATCAACTGAAGGAAACATTTCTTTTGTTAATTACACTGGAAAAATTGGTGCAGTGGGAAGAGTAAACTGCCTGCAGAAGGTAAGAATAACAACAAAACCTGGCATTTTGTCCCTTCTGGTGAAGTCTGATGTATTGCCAAGGGCATACACCAAGCCACTTGTATGACAAGTTGGGAAGAACCCAAGGCTCAGTTATGAATTTGTTTAGGGAGAAGATTCTACCTAAATACAGTCTATAGCTGCCCGTGGTAAATACCAGAGATACCTCTCGCTATTTCAGGCAAAAAAACATTTAGACTCAGCACATCCAGTGAAAATGTGATGAATTTGGCTCCTGTTAAATAGAAAGCTGACTATGAAGCATAATTCTGAAAATATTTTTCAAAGATTGAATATTCATGTGTGTATATGTTTTGCAAATTTTCAATAGAAAATCTTATGCTATGAACTCATTAAATATGACGTGGAGAAAGATGAACCACTCCGAGATGAAAATGGATACTGCATAAGAGTTCCCAAAGGTAAAAACTCCTTTAAAAAATTTCAGAAAGGTGTTTACTTTTTAAAATAACATCTCTTTGCATCACTTCTGTCTGGAAAGATGCTAAGAATTGCCATAAAGTAAGCCAGATTTTTAAATAAAAGTTAGAAAATATGTAAGAAATCAGTATTGTAATACAGCTTAACAGAAAGGTAAGTACAGTGCAGAATGCAGCATTTATATACTTAGACTTTAATAACTAGTTTAGTTTTAAAAATGACATGCTAACACTTTTGAGTACAGATCTTGACTTTCAGCAG